GTAAAATCACAAAGACGGTTTGTTGACCCACCTTGAACCCTTTCTCTCCGAGCAGCCCGGTGTAACCAGATAATCCCTGAAACACACAAACACATCGCACACGTGTTTATCATGAGTCCATGTTCACACTTTCATCAGGATGAAGTTTACTGTAAATCTTTCACACTTCATTTATTCATTAAAACTTTCTTAAAGGTCAGTCTGTCACAACTGAGGCTCTCTTCATGAGAACAGGAGGCGCACATCGCATATCAGGTCATAACTGATGCTAACTGCTGTTAGCTAGTTAGCTCAGTGATGCAAACTTAGTAGTCCTATTAGCTGACTGAGTACAAAATGAGCACCAGAACCAGAGCCGGGCTCAGCACAGCTTCTAAGACCGACGGACTCCAGTTTGACGAGTACAGTACGGTTCGGGCAAGGAAGGCAGAATGTTTTCACTTCTAACTCGCTGAATTAAAGGTTTATTTCCACCAAAGCAGAGCTGGAGTGGAAAGACTAACCCCGACGGCTTGGTGAGCTTCATTGTTTCTGTGGAGTTTGGATAAAGTGTGTTTCAGGATGAGTTCACGAGGCGATTAGTCCAGTGAAAGACAGAAACCTGACTTCTGTTTGATTAGGAAAACAGGTGAAAGAACATTTTCCCTTCTGTTATATTTACACATCTCCCAGCTGAAACTATAGGGAGGCCTGAGCTGCAGTCTCTGGCTGTCACCTCTCCAGGTACCAAAGTGGTCTTACAGCACAGGACGGGCCGGGCTAGCTGGTTAGCATGCTAACTTACAGTCTGTACTACCACACCCAGACTAAACCTCTGGTCGTATCGTGAAGAACACCACAACAAACTCAATTCAATCGGTTTATTCTGGGCAACATTTACAGGGAGTACTGATCAATACTGTGAAGGAGGGTTACTCACCCTGGGTCCAGGAAACCCCAGAATCCCCTCTCTCCTTTGATCCCTGGCAGACCGTCCAAACCCTGAAACACAGATCCTCTTTATGCACAGTAATCGATATGTGATCAATTATATTCTGCTCTCATCTGATAATGAACTAAATACTAAACGTGTCTAAATGTAGAACATTCATCAACCAATAAACTTCTGACTGAAGTAGAACACGGGAGAACCCTGGACCGAGTGTTCCTCCAGCTGGATGTTAGTGGTCTGATCTGGTATCTGAACTTACCGGCTGTCCCTGAACTCCACAGACACCTTTAACACCTTGAGGACCCTGAAGAACCAGCAGAACCCCACATTAGAACAAACAGAACCAGAAGTGTAGCACAGCCATGGACTAAGTACAGTAGAACCACAGTAGACACGCAAAAATCGCATCTGCGGTAGTATTGCAGTAGAACCACAGTAAAATGACAGTAGTACTGCAGTAGAACCACGGTGAAATGACAGTAGTACTGCAGTAGAACCACGGTGAAATAACAGTAGTACTGCAGTAGAACCACAGTAAAGTGACAGTAGTACTGCAGTAGAACCACAGTAAAATGACAGTAGTACTGCAGTAGAACCACAGTAAAATGACAGTAGTACTGCAGTAGAACCACGGTAAAATGACAGTAGTACTGCAGTAGAACCACAGTGAAATGACAGTAGTACTGCAGTAGAACCACAGTAAAATGACAGTAGTACTGCAGTAGAACCACGGTGAAATGACAGTAGTACTGCAGTAGAACCACGGTAAAATGACAGTAGTACTGCAGTAGAACCACGGTGAAATGACAGTAGTACTGCAGTAGAACCATGGTAAAGTGACAGTAGTACTGCAGTAGAACCACAGTAAAATGACAGTAGTACTGCAGTAGAACCGCGGTAAAGTGACAGTAGTACTGCAGTAGAACCACGGTGAAATGACAGTAGTACTGCAGTAGAACCACAGTAAAATGACAGTAGTACTGCAGTAGAACCACGGTGAAATGACAGTAGTACTAAATACTGTCTAACCTGATTGTCTAATCTGTAATCTGATTGGCTGTCTGACACTGAAGCCCACCCACCTGTTCTCCTTTGATGTACAGGTCTTCTGGAGGGTCGACGTACTCAAACGGCCCCGGTGGCCCCTGGGGGCCCTGCTCACCCTGTGGACCACACACAGAACTTTAATACTACTACTGCACAGTACTACACAGTACTATGCAGTATAGCATTACTGCCACAGGACTACTACAGTAACTAAACAGTAAGTTCTGCTCTCTGAAGCTTTACAGTCTCCCGACTGTTGTTCTTCTGGCCACGCCCCCTCAGTGATGTCACTGCAGGTGATTCTTGCAGCTGTCAGAAGGAAAACACCTGCTGTGATGTCACTGAAGTGGGCGTGGCCAGAAAACGTTTTTTGTTTTTTTTCCCTGAACATTTTTACCTCATCTCCTTTCTGTCCGGGCAGGGATCGACCTTTTTCCCCCTGAAACAGAAACAACAGCGCCTGTTAGATGTTCACCTGTTATCAAATACTTTACAAATACTGTGATCTATCATCAGAACAGTTAAAGGTCTCTGAGCTGCAGTTAGAAGAAAACCTTCGTTTCACATTTTCTGGGCTAAATTTAAACTATAAATATACATAAATAAACGCTGGTATTTAAATAATCAGTAACAGCACAGACTGTCAGAAGCTCAGTTTAAACTAGACTTCTTACTAAATTATCATCACGTAAAATTTACAAATAATAAAACTTTCTATATGTACATATAATACTTACAGGTGAACCCCTGGAACCAGGCCGACCAGGGAAACCCTGTAGCGAGAGACAGATGTTAGCAGAAGATAATACTATATACTACAACATGTCACTTCTATGAGTCTTAACTGAGTAAATTATATTATAGTTATCGTTAATTATTTGTGTTTCTGTGACTCACGTTGGTCCCGTCCAGTCCTGCAGGACCCGGAGCTCCGATCAGACCAGGGCGACCTTGTTCACCCTGCAGACACACACTTGAAATGTAAGTCGTCTTTTTGTCAGCATATATCATTCTTTGCTTATGTAAAAGTAGTAATACCACACAAAAATACTTCATTACAAGTAACAGCTGCAATCAAACTGCTACAAGTACTAAAGTATTATTAGCTAAATGTAATTTTCATGTCATACTGTAAATATGACCAGAAAACTACATTTTCATAAAGAAATCTGTTGTTGTTATTAGATCAGTCCGTCTGAAACTTCAAACAAAAAAAGACAGAGATTATGAACAATTTAATTTTAGAAAATTGGAGCTTTTGTCACAGATAAACACACGAAGGACTGAAATGAATCAATAAGCTGATTTTATGAATTACGATTCCTCATATTTTACAAAATGTAAAATCTTAGTAACTTATGTTATCACAACCCGTTCTCCCTCCCCGACTCGTCACATATGGACGCGTGGTCGAGACCCATCGGCAGTTTGTAACGCACTGGGGATCCCTGTATCCCTGACATTAACTTACGTAGTTATTTTAACCCAAACCAGAATCTTTTCCGAACCTTAACTAAGTAGTTTTTGTTCCTAAACCCAACCAAACTGCCACATTTCACGACTTTAATGATGTCGTGAATCAAAATGGCGATGTTTCGAAACACTGGCGTTTTATTTTAAAAGTCTAACCGGACATTGCATGTTTATTGTTGCTAAGCGTTGCTAACTTGACCGCGGAGCCTTAAATGTCTAAAAATGACGCTAAAGGGGTACCCAGGGTGGTAGAAAGCGACGCCAAAGGGCCTTGACCAAGCGTCACATATTGACGCTTGGTCAAGGCCCTTTGGCGGTCAAGATGTGAGTCGGGAGAACGTGTCGCTTATAACTTAACGTTCTAACTCCCAACTCGTCACATGTGAATTCTTGGTCAACACCACCTGCCGTCACTTTTTAACGCCCCTGGGTTCCCATTAACATCGTTTTTGTATGTCTAGGGCTCCGCGGTCAAGATAATAATAATTATTCATTTAGCTGACGCTTTTATCTAAAGCGACTTACAACTGCTATTCATGTCAGAGGTCGCACGCCTCTGGAGCAACGAGTGTGTCTATGAAGATTCTCAGTCATCCAGGTCATAGTTATCCAACGAAGGTTAAAGTCAAGGGCAACTGGACTTGGTTGAAGATACTGGAACGTCTTCCAGTATCTTCAACCAAGTCAGACACAAATCTACCTCCGGTAGACTGCGTGAGTTTATAACAATGATGAGGCCTCTAGTGACGTCACACCTCGCGGGAGGCAACGCTTTGTTATACTGAGAAAAGAGGCGGATGCAAATTTCGGCAGGTAGCCTTCAACATCTGTTTTGGCGAATTATGCATTCACTTCTTAAGGTCCTTTTAGGACACTTTGCTGTTTGAACGCCACATGTTTTTGCTGAATCTCAAGAAATGGTACTTTTACTAAGTGTAATAATATATTAACGATTCTTAACGTTCATAAAATATATACTGATCATTTATCACATTGATGAACCCCACAAAGAATAGTATGGCGTTTAAAAGCAGAACTTTAATGCATTTTCATATAATTCTCGACAGGCGTGCAAAATCGGTATATGTGTATAATAGTACTTTTATGGTTGAACAATGGCTCTAAAGGGCTTCCACCGGTGCACTGAATTATGACAAGAAAGGCTGCCATGTGAGTTGGTACCGGACGCCGGAAGACGTGACAAAGAGTAGCTATCTGACGCTCTGGGAATAAGAACAGGCTGAAATATCTTGGAACAGTTATCGTCTCCAAACTGAACTGAAAGCTGTGAAGTCGTGTGCAAAAAGAGTTCCGGCGTTTGTTTTCTTTGAGGAAACTGTCCCATTTCCACGTTGAAAAAACCACAATGACCTTGTTCTACCGTGCTTTTATAGGTTTATAATCCCAAAATGTAGAACAAAGCCGCCCTTTGTTCCAGCAGCCAACACTCAGAAGTACTGTACACAGTACAATACTTCCTTCTGAAATGTAGTGTACAACAAGTAACTCATTGTTGTACTTGAGTAGAGTAAATGTACTTGTTTGTGTTTGTACTCACCGGCAGACCACGAAGTCCACGGGGCCCGACTTCCCCCTGTCAGACACAAAAACATCCCATAATCCGTGGTTGTCATAGAAAGAATTTAATAATGGATAAATCTTTAATTGAAGTAAATCTATTTTATATCTCAGTACACTGAATATCTGTCCAGTTTTGAGTGGACAAAACAAGACATTGAGTTTAGTCGATTAGCCAAGACACTGATCAACAGATTGATTGATTGATTATGTTTCTCGGTTTTGGGGTTCTTGATGTTTTGGATGTTGCTGTTCTTCTTCTTCTTCTTCTTCTCGTGTCTTGGTGTGTTGCGCTTCCTGTCTCAGTGTCCTTTTGTCATTTGTTCATTTGTGCTGTTTCCTGTTTTTCTTTGAGGTTGTTTTGTCCCTGGTGTCGCGGTCAGAGACTGTTTAAAGTGGTCATATTCTTCTCATTTTCAGGTTCATCATCTTATTTAGAGGTTGTACCAGAGCAGGTTTACATGGTTATATTTTTGTCATACTGCACATTGCTGCAGCTCCTCTTCTCAGCCTGTGTTGAAGGCTTCGTTTTAGCTATGGAGTGATACATCTTGTCTCTACACGATCTTTGTTGAGAGCTGCACATGCTCAGTTCCTAGTTAAGGACTACTAGCCAATCAGAAGCAGAGAAGGGCGGGTCGGCGAGAAGCCGGTAAACAGCTCGGGTTCAGCCGTACGTGTTGCCGACCGGCTCGGCAACACGGACTGGAGCGAGAGTTTCAGAGCGGTGAGTTATTAATCTGTATCCATAAAGTTTTAACTGAGCTCTGTCTCTACATCACAGGAACAACTTCATGTCCACTGACTGCCTGGAGGGTAGCTAGTGTTTGGAAGGGAGAGGAGAGCTGTGTGCTGCAGCTCGCTGTTTCTGAGGGCGTGTCGGAGTAGCCGCTCGGCGAGCGTTATATGAGGCGCGTTTAGCTTTCATCCCTGTGACGTCACAGGGATGAAAGGGAAGCGGCTGGACTATAAACGAGCTGTTTTCAGTTCAGAGCAGAGTTTTCTGTGGGAGATGGGAACAGATCAGATTGACTACATGTCGCCAAATACTGCGTGGAAAGGCGCCACACGTGATGTGTGTGTTAGATGTGCGTGTGTTATAAAATACCAGGCTGCCTTCTGTAAACGTATACGGGATGCTGACTGTATCCATAACTGGGGCGGCTGTGGCTCAGGGGGAAGAGCGGGTTGCCTGTTAATCGGCGGTTCAATCCCCGGCTCCTCCAGGCCCTGAATTGTTCCACCAGTGTATGAATGTGTGTGTAAAAGTGCTTTGAGTGGTTGAAAAGTCTAGCATTTACATTTACATAACCAGTGGGATGAGCTCATGGCGTCACGTCACCGGCACTCTGGATAGAGCCGTAAATGAAGGCGTTGTGGTGAAAGCTTGTGCATGCGTAGTAGAAGTATAGCCTGTGGAGAAAAACTTACTTTGGGACAAAGTCCTCAAATGTTTTCAGATTGTTGGTTCTTATTCTGTTCTCTTGTCTTACTGCTTAGTCCTGTGATTTAGTTCATGTCTTAGTATTTACTCCTGGTACTTTGGTATTCGTTATTTTGCCCATGTCTGCTCCATGTTTGGTTCTTAGTTCAGTCTGTTTTTCCTGTTAGGTTTTGTAGTCTATCTGTATGATTAGTTTTTAATCTGTTCTGTGTTCCAGTATGTTTCTTCTCTTGTTGCCTGTGCCTCGTGTTCAGTGTTCTCCCGTGTTTCTCCCGCCCTCTCGTTAGTCCCTGGTGTTAAATGTTTGCCGTTCCTGTTCAGTCTCTGTCCGGTCATTTAAGTGTGTTGTGGTGTGAAGCCTGTAGTTCTGAGTCTCCTCTGTCTGCTTGTCCCCCCCCCCCCGCCTATGGATTTTCCGTGGGATTACTCTGTTCCTTTTGTATTGATTTGTTATGCTGGATTCGTTGGACTCAGCCACTAGTAAGTGTGCTCGCTTTGTGTTAAATAAACCTTTCTGGACTGAACCTGCTCTGTGTCCTCCGTTTGGATCCGCCAACCTGCTCAACTCTACAAACCTGTGACATATGCAGGTTTTATGTCCCCAGTTTTGGTTCTCTGCCCGTTCATTTAGAGAGAGATCTGATCCTGTTAGTCCCAAGAAACTCCCTGGAGACGTTACCAAGATGGCTGCCGAGTGGCGGGACATGCCTTTATAAGGACTTTGGCTGAGGTCAAATAGTCTTTTTCTAACTGAGTGAAGTGGCAGCCATGGTCGGATTCTATAAAAGCTAAGGAAAGGTGCTTCAGTGCTTCCTTTCTTATCTCCTTTAGCAAAGGGTACACCGGACCATCCTTTACGAAAGGAAAGGAGGTAGTGCCGTCCCGCTGGAACATTTAAAGCGATGCAGCGTTGTAGTTTCACCCACGAAAATTTAGAAACAACAGAGAACCCATTTTATATCATACCATAAATATATATAAATTTCTTCTCCGTCAACTCCATCCAGTTTGGAGGAGTCTTGCAAAACAAACACATTGAATTTCTATTTTACAATATCATCATCATAATAAAATACTATACACATAAATGTCTTGAAATGGGGGCGCTGTTGAGCGATGGAGGAGTAAGACATGTTCATCTTAGCTCCGGTAACTTTATTTTCTTAAATACACTAAACGCCTGTGTATCCGACCTAAAACACTCTGGCTTAACATACCGGATCTGTGGATTCCTACCTGTGAGTTTCCGGATATGTGTTTGGTTTTGGACCAGGTTTTCACCTGTTTATTTAATAAAAAGTGTCTGCATTTGAGCCCAAAAGCCTGTCTGCATTCTGGCTGACCCTGGCATTATGAAAAGAATATTTAGTAACTGCAGTACACATCATTCATCCAATAGTTGTTGAGTTACTGTGTATGTGAGCCGTGACGCTCGCTAATGAACTAACTAGCTGTTAATCTGATACATAAATATAATTACACACACACGAGTGTATGTATACGTATATGTACGTATATGTTTACTTATAGTACAGGTGTACTTACAGTTGTTCCAGGGTACTGTATGAAGAAGACCGCTGGATCTCCCCGAAATCCCTTCAGTCCTGGTAAACCCTGCAGATTAAAACATAGTTACCATGGTCATTACTTAGAGGTGCTCCGATCACTGGGTCTATTTGAAGCCTTTTATTTATCATGTAGCATTATTCAGTATACTGTATATTTATTTAATTAGTCCTAAGAACAATGTATTAAGTGTTAAAATGAACAGATGATAAAGTATCACGAAATGGCAACTGTTTATTTTATTGGCAGGAAACATGGGCAACAAATTACACTCAATCTGTCTTGGAGACTTAAACCACAGCAGCCTTTGCCTGGTTATTGCTTAACAAATACAGCTTTCCTGTGGAATAAACTACAAAGCATCTTTATAAGTTTACTAAAACCATAAAAGCTGCAACAAAAAAGGCTGTAGCCAAAATAATTAGGAGATGAAGGAGCACAGGGATCATGAGTCGATGAAAAACTCAGAGAAATACAGAGAGGAGTCAGAACTGCCTTCAATGAGATTTGAAAATAAGGAAAATTTAAATAAATAAAAGTACAATGTTAATTCCATATTATACTGTTAGTATATTGTTAATATTACTTATAGTTAGGCTACTATATTCATTATAATTTCATATGGTTTACCACTAGTAGGTTATAGGCCTCATTTATTTAATCCTTGTGCACGAAACACAGTCTACATATCTTACTTGCTGCCACCGACTTTACCAGAGGAGAGAGTAGCAAACACTTTAAATACGGCCAGCAGGTTTTCATTTGATTTTATAAAGGTTAAAGATACGGGCGACTTACAGGGAAACATTTAAAACGGAGAATACGGGAGAATCTCGGGGAAAGCAGGAGGGTTGACATGAGAGGAGTGGGGTAATATGAGACTACATCCGCACTGCTACGGTTTTCAGCTGCGTATCAGAGTTGCTCTCCGTCTATATTAAAACGACTGAAAACACACATCTAGTGGCCGTTCAGGTAGCCCACACTGGGCGTGCACGAGCCAGTGTACACGTGAAGCAGATGGTCTACTGCGCAGTTGCAGAACATTTAGCGAAAGCAGAAAGTAATATGTAAATAATTAATAAGTTAAATAACGGTAAAATAATACAGACGAAGAACCACACCGGGCCTTCTTTTAGACAACGAAGTGGAACTGGTACTGAAAGTACAGAGAGATGGCAGCCAGCGGCGGGAAACAGACTGGGAGTCGTCGCAAAGTAAACAAAGCGATATGCAGGCTAACTGTTAAGTGTTGTTTACACAGTACGTATATTTTAATAAAAATACCGCATGACTGATCAGTCGCTTCCTGTCTGAAAAGGACTAGCTAGCTTTGAAAACCGCTCAGACCGCGTAGTGAAACATGTTAGCTGCCGTTGAAAATTTGTCTGGCGAGTATTGCATCATCTGATCGCCTTTTCTTATCGGCCTAAACTACTTAAAGCCATTATCGTCCGAATACGATCGGTGATTGATTGATCGGGGCGCCCTTTCTTAATACTACAGTACTCTGCACCTTTAAACTACAGTACGCTGTGTACTTTGTAGTATTCTTACATGCATACACAGTACTGTTACATGAGATGAATATCTTTAACTCTACATGTTTGAAGAGTTCTATAATTGACATGATCATCACAGAGACATTTTAATTAAATATATGTTGTTTCTGACCCGTTCTCCGTCAGGTCCAAATTCTCCAGGAAGTCCAGGACCTCCTCTGTCTCCTCTGGTTCCATTACATCCGTCCAGCCCAGGAAAACCAGGTCCTCCGGCAGGACCCGGGTGACCCTGAACATACAAACACATGCTCAGAGTCTGACCTTTTGAACTGTACCTGGGCCAATCAGAGCAGCTGAGAGGATGGGGGGGTGGGGCTTCTTACCGGGAGTCCTTCTAAACCTGGAAAACCAGGAACACCAGCACTTCCCTGAAACAACACACAGCATGACAGCGTTAAAAACTGAGGTACAGGGTTACGTGTCGGGTTCAGGTACCACATGGAGACTGGAAGACCTGTGATTGGTCAAACTAAAACAAACTGTAACAAGAAGAACAAAAAGAACCATCATGTTTACAATAGAACCATGTTTATTCACCACGTCTCCCTTCGGTCCTGCAGCTCCTATTGGACCCTCATCTCCTCTTTGGCCCTTCTCTCCTGCAGGCCCCTGGGGGCCCGGAAAGCCAGGGGGGCCTGGAGGGCCCTGCCGCCCCGTAGGACCTGGAGGACCCTGCAGAACATTAACAACACTGTTAGAAATTGATAGAACCTGTTCAAGCATGACAGAACCCAATAGAAGCTGATGCTGTAGAACTTAGCAGAATTAGAAAGAACCCTTCAAACCTGATGGAACCCATTTAGCATGACAGAACCCAATAGAAGCTGATGCTGTAGAACTTAGCAGAATTAGAAAGAACCCTTCAAACCTGATGGAACCCATTTAGCATGACAGAACCCAATAGAAGCTGATGCTGTAGAACTTAGCAGAATTAGATAGAACCCTTCAAACCTGATGGAACCCATTTAGCATGACAGAACCCAATAGAAGCTGATACTGTAGAACTTAGCAGAATTAGAAAGAACCCTTCAAACCTGATGGAACCCATTTAGAATGACAGAACCCAATAGAAGCTGATACTGTAGAACTTAGCAGAATTAGACAGAACCTGATGGAACCCATTTAGCATGACAGAACCCAATAGAAGCTGATACTGTAGAACTTAGTAGAATTAGATAAAACCTGTCAAACCTGATGGAACCCATTTAGCATGACAGAACCCAATAGAAGCTGATACTGTAGAACTTAGCAGAATTAGATAGAACCTGATGGAACCCATTTAGCATGACAGAACCCAATAGAAGCTGATACTGTAGAACTTAGCAGAATTAGATAGAACCTGATGGAACCCATTTAGCATGACAGAACCCAATAAAAGCTGATACTGTAGAACTTAGCAGAATTAGATAGAACCTGTCAGACCTGATACAACATGTTAAAGCATGACAGAACCCAAAAGAAGCTGATGCTGTAGAACTTAGCAGAATTAGATAGAACCCTTCAAACCTGATGGAACCCATTTAGAATGACAGAACCCAATAGAAGCTGATACTGTAGAACTTAGCAGAATTAGATAGAACCCTTCAAACCTGATGGAACCCATTTAGAATGACAGAACCCAATAGAAGCTGATACTGTAGAACTTAGCAGAATTAGATAGAACCTGATGGAACCCATTTAGCATGACAGAACCCAATAGAAGCTGATACTGTAGAACTTAGTAGAATTAGATAAAACCTGTCAAACCTCATGGAACCCATTTAGCATGACAGAACCCAATAGAAGCTGATACTGTAGAACTTAGCAGAATTAGATAGAACCTGATGGAACCCATTTAGCATGACAGAACCCAATAGAAGCTGATACTGTAGAACTTAGCAGAATTAGATAGAACCTGATGGAACCCATTTAGCATGACAGAACCCAATAAAAGCTGATACTGTAGAACTTAGCAGAATTAGATAGAACCTGTCAGACCTGATACAACATGTTAAAGCATGACAGAACCCAAAATAAGCTGATACTTTAGAACTTAGCAGAATTAGATAAAACCTAATAGAACCCGTTTAGCATGACAGAACCTAATAAAAGCTGATACTGTAGAACTAGAGTAGTAATGAATAGAACATGATAGAACCTGAGGGAACCTGATAGAACCTGACAAAGTAAAACCCGGTACAACCTGTCACAAACTAATACAACCTAAGAGAAGCTGACAGAACCAGATGTATAAACTAGAAAGAGGTTATGAATCTACTACTGGGGAACTTTAATCTTAAAGAAATCTTTATATTGAAAAATATTCAGCCTGATGCAAGAACCACGTGCAACAACCTATGGTACCACCAGATTTGTTCTAATGTGTACTGATTTAGGAGAACTTAATTAATAAGCTGTTCAGACCTCATATGTGCGATTAATATGGCCCTGAGCCCCTGCTTATGATTTTCACTAATTTGATTAGTTATTTAATTACAATGAGTTTGAAAATAAATAAATGTATTAATTACACTTTGATTACACTTCCTAATTCCTAATTATGTATGTAATAAAATACATAGAACCTGAAGAAGGAACAGGCGAAACGCGTTGTTCACAATAATCACAGTAAAGTCATCTCAGTGTCCGAAGGCTTGTTTTTGATTTTTATTTGCTAAATCCTGCGATCTTCCAGCACCTGACTGTTGTTGGTGTGCACGGGAAATTTCTCGCTCCATAACTGTATTCATATAGCCTAACGGCATCATCATCCGAGGTTTAGAATACAGCAGGCTGTAAAACGTGTTTGAGCGCCAACTCTGCAGACAGACGCAGAGGTCCAGTTTCCTTAAATCCGCTGCTGACGCTGTTAAACATGACAGACTTTCCTTTATGGATCCACAACAGCAGGATTTCAGTCTTTTTGCTCGTTGATGTCATTTTCATGTATGAACACTTCATATCGTTAGCTTGGCTTCCTGTCTGTCCTGATCCCTAACGCGTCCCACCTGTGTTCAATTACCCTCCCCCCCCCTCTGTTGCACTATTTAGGTTTGCTTGTTCTTGTCAGTTTGTTTGTTCATCGATGATGAGCGTTCCTGCTTGTTCTGCTGTGATTTGGACTATTCTTTTTTTTTGGATTATTGTTCCTCAGAATGGATCCCCCTGCTGTTGTTTGGACTGCACTCTAAGTTATTTCTTTGGTTAAATAAACCAGCAAACAGATCCTACCTTGTTCAGCGTCTGCATTTAGGCTCGACTCGCTGTTTCTGCCTGCGCGCTCAACCAACCCTAACGTTTATATATCGACTGATATGTTAAAAAATAGAAAAAAGAACAGCGATGCATTTGTGATATTTGTGAAACAACAACATCTCTACATATCTTACAGTTTTTTTCAGTTGCTAGGATGCAATGGTCAAAACTGAAGCCGTATTATCACAACTCTTCACACAGTCTGCATTACCAACATGCATGTTGGCCAAACAGTTAATCTCACCTCCAAAAGTCACACAAACCACCAAAACACTTCATACATGTCTCAAAATAAACTCGTTCAACCAAAACACTGGCAACAGTTCTCACTCAGAAAGCAAACATAACAAACTGACCTACAAAACACTAACAGGGAGCACTATGATAAACTTTAATCACTGAAGTATGAATGATTTTTCATTTAAAGTTTTTCTCAGTCGCCTTTGAACATTTCTTGCAGTATTATAAAACAACACATGACAGTAAAAACAGTCAGGGCGCAAATGTGAATCTTGTCCAATCTCATCCATTCATACATCCAGAAAACGAGCAGCCTCGTGCATTTCAAATCACTGACATCATAACGGTGTGTTTGAAGAAGCGTCTCGGTCAGGATGTTACATCATATTACACTGAAACACATGACAGTAATGGAAACAAACAAGGAAGGATGGAAAAAGAGAGACATCTTCCTTTATGAGTGTAAATACAGATAGATTCTTTGCCACAAAAAAAATTGATGGTTTTATGTAAAAAGTGATTGAACATGTCTGAATTTAGAAACAGCTGAGTTCTGTCTAAGCTCGACTGATCCTGGATCTGTGAGGACAACATTGTTATAAGGCTGAATGTCAGATAAAAACATATCAGCTGATGTTTGTTTTACAACTTAAATAAAATATACACCAACATTTTTAAACTGTGGGTGGTAAATGAAAACACACCACATGGATGAATTCCCCCATTGTTGGCAACTAAGATTCGCCACCTGGAGATGTGAACGCTTGACCTTCGTACCCCAGAGCAAGACTGAACGAGCCAGAGGTGAGATCTGGTTCTCAAACACCTTCTCACAATGACATCACATGTGCCGGACTCAGATATCTTTGTCCCTTTAAATTTAAAACAACGTGTGTTGTGTGTTGTGGTGATAAATTCTGAATAAATACACACATCATTCTGCTACTTTGGAGTTTTTGTCAAATACTTTAGTGACGTTTGCTGCCACACGGAGCAAAAAAGCAAATGTTGTGCATACGGTACAAATCCCAGCAAGATCCAGAAGATAAAACCCTTCGAAACACACAATATCTGCCATCTAGAGAACGTATTATGCCACGAGATCTCGCTTGATTAAACTGTGACGATATTTCTGGTGAGGTAAAAAGTTGTCTCTCGAGATTCACACAAATTACATTTTTCACACGCTGTCAAGCCGCACATTAATTTTCTCCCGCAGTGAAATACAAATGTATAACTGATAGATAGACTCGCAGAGCGAATCAACTCCGCCCGGCTGACGCCACACCGGCGTAGCCCCGATAGTAATCAACTGCAGACAGCTGTGACGAGTGGGAACGTAGCTGGTAGAGTTTTGCAACATAACCATCTAAAAACTGAAGAGCAGCCTGCTTTATGAGCTGCTGAAGTTAACCTGTGTGGATCTGTGCTGAGATTTCTGCCTGATCACAAGTGTTACTTTAGGTTTCACAAGCAACATGCAGTCCCAACCTGCGTCGGCCAAACGGTCTGAAGGGGATAACGTTACTACCAGCGGATCAATAACGTAATGCAGCGCAGAGTAAAGGGCAGCTAGACTTCTCAGTAAATGACGACGTTAGTCTGGACGCGTCAGAGAACCCAGATCTGTGGGAGAGATTCTGAATGTGCAGAAAGTTTTGACCATGAGCAGAAAATCTGCTGAAACACAGGAGCTGTTGAAGTCCAGGAGTTTCTAACTGAATTAACACTAAATAATTTCACATTGAGGTGAAAAGGAGCCACAATCCCATTTAAAGAGGTGACTTCCCCAAACAGAGACACAAAGAGGAGGGAAGACTGAATCCTGACTCAGCAGGGATGAGATTAAATAAGTTGATCTACAGGAGAAACAGATCTGAGAGCAGCACTGACTTAGATTCTGGTAGAGTTGGGCTATAGATTTAGAATCGTCACCTGCCACCTGAACTTTGTAATCTTTTATTCTGTACATATAAAAATCACCCTAAACTGGGGCAGAAAGATTCATCGGAATGCAGGAAATAAAGCGTTTAATGCTCAAATTTTTCATATAATTAAGCACTAATGATTTCTTAAAAATAGTGTTAAAATCTCGTCTCGTTTCGATCTCGTGAACCCGATCTCGAATCTCGTCTCGTCTCGTGGGTTAAGTGTCTCGTCACACCGCTATTAACTTCAGATCAGCGAAGTCTGATGAT